TGCCCTCTCCCATGGGTAGATCCTCAAGCTTCTCCCCCAGGCCTCTTTGTCCTCAGTGTCACTTGGGCCACCCCTCTCTCCACGCAAACTGGATAACCAGTCGCACTGCCTGAAGCTCTGACTCCTCGGTGGTTTGCTGCTCACCACCGGCTTTCAGAGTCACCCGTAAGTGAGACGGTAGGGCAGCTGAACAGTTCATTTTCGGCTTGAAGTAACATATAAAGTCAACCCACCAATTACCTAGGTTCAGGCATTTTCCTCTTCTGTCTGACAATGAAAACTTCCCATGGGGTCAACGTTACACTAAGGGAGATGACTGCGCGACAGTGACAGGTGGCCAAGATGTCCGATTCACCTGTTTATGCCATTTCCTTGTGCCCTCTCGAGCTGCTTAAGCCCAGCCTTGGATGTGCCACTTCCATTTTACAATAAATTACTTCTGGGCCACCCTGAAGTTATGTCTAACAGTACTCACCTCTTGATGGTTAGTTCTGGCTGCAAAGCCAGCAGATACGCCATGGCAGGACCTTGGTCCAGAATCCTAGGGATCTGTGCCATGACTCTCATGTTGAAAGCTGTCATAGACTCCACATTATTTCTTTCTGTGTTGTATAAATCTCTACTACCATGGGAGCTGCCAAGTCGTATAGCCCAAGCAAGAGAAGGACTACTTGCACCACAGCCTATTCTCACTGTAGAGCCCATTCTTGTTCTGGGCTCTGAAAGCTTCCCCTGTCACTCAGTGGATAAAGTCAGAACAATCCTCCCAATTACAGGATGTGTTGCCTTCAAAACTTGAACAGTCTCACCAAGCATAACGCTTCATTCTTATTGGTAGTAGTCTAAGGTATGATGTTACCCTTTGCTTGAGATGTCCTGGTTTTCCCCAAGCAATTGGACCCCTAGATATTTCACGTATTTAAAAAGATAATGAATCTTTGTAGGGTTTATCTATCACGCTCTGGAGTTCCTGTGTCAAATCATAGCCTCTGAAGCACCTGCCACTTCTTGTTCATCAAGTTTTTATTGTTTATTACATGATGTCATCGATATGGTAAATCAATGTGATTTTCTGTGGAATGTTCCAATGGTCTGGTTCCATTTTAACTATTTTGTGACAATAGCAAGAGAATAAACATAGACCTGGGGCAAGACCATAAATATGTATTGTCATCCATCTCCTATAAATGTAAAATGAAGGATATTGAAGAGAATCCCCTTACCCAGCCAAGGTCTATGTACTTGAGGCTGTAATCTGCTCTAGTAAAGGGACCACATCCAACACCACAGCTACAGTTGGGGTTATAACTTGGTTAAGTTTGCAAGGATCCACCATAATTTGCCATGATTTATCTTGGTTTTTCAGGAGACAAACTTGTAAATTGAATAGGTATGAGTGGGAACCACTTACCCCTGTACCTTAAAGTCTTTTAGGGTGGCACCAGTCTCTGCCATTCCCCTTGGATGCAATGTTGATTTTCATTTACTATCTTTCCTGAAGAAGGCAGCTTCAGGGACTTCTATTTGGCCTTTTTTTTTTTACTACAGTAGCTATTACTGGTCAAAGAACTGACATGAGAAGTCTTCCAGCTGCTAAGCATGGCATTTCCAATTGTACATTTAGAAATAAGAGGGAGTTCCCTGGTGGTCCAGTGGTTAAGACTCCGCGCTTCTACTGCAAGGGGTGTGGGTTCAATCCCAGGTCAGGGAGCTAAGATCCCACATGTCACATGGTGTGGCCAAAAATTTTTTTAAAAGAAAGAAGAAAGAAAGAAAGAAAGAAAGAAAGAAAGAGAGAGAGAGAGAGAGAGAAAGAAAGAAAGAAAGAAAGAAAGAAAATAAGAAAGAAAGAAAGAAAGAAAGAAATTAGAGGACATAGGCTATTTATCACTTGGTGTGTATATGCCCCACCCCTCCCGTAACCCATTGGCCATATTATTTGGGGGTGGTTCCTGAGAATTTGTACCCTGTATCCAATTTCCCTTGAAGGTATTTCTACATGTTGTTGGCTTCCCATGTATTTTTGTCTCTGGGGTACCATTTTCTATTAGCAGTCTCCAAAGATCCGTATGGTCAGCAGCAGACCCAGGCTGTCACTATGTCCATTACAGTAATTCTGACTACATTGCTTGTGATTCTCAAGTGCTGCCATCTGGCCTCGGCGGTCATTGGCCACGGCCACCCTGGTTGAGAATGAGGGACATGCATGACGTCCTGGCTAAGTGGCTCTCACTTAGCTGAGGACGGTTTTCTGGAAATGGGGGACGCAGCTAAGTGCAAATCCTGAGGCATGAAAGCTCTGGCCAAGTGAAGGGGTATGGGCGGGCATCCACGGTGTCCACGACAACAACCTTTGGTGCTAGGATAAGAACTGGCAAAACAGCCAGGCACCCTGCTTGCCTGGGAATCTTGTCCCTTCCCCACACCACCTGCTCTGGACAGAACTGCCGACACACACTCAGCAGAGACTTCGGTGTAGGCAGAGTGCGTATGGCTTCCTAAACCATGAGACCGGATAAACAGGCAGACCAGCATCCAGGAATTACCTGTAAAGACAGGCTTGTTTGGGTGTTTTAAGAGAAAAGGAAAATATAATACTCGGATTGTGATTTATGAGGACCAGGGCCTATCGAAATTCTATGCCTGTCAGTACATTTGAACACCATCACGCTCTCACCAGAGTCTCTGCGACTCTTTCATGGGAGAGGAAGCTGGGACTCGTCCAGAGCGCTCAGCCAGTCTGACGTGGCCCAGAGCAGCTCATGAACCTAAGATTCTGAGGCTACTCAGTTCTCAAAGGTGACATTCTCATGCTTTGTCTTTAAATGCAGGCATTATTAAAACTTGATCTGATGGTGAAACTACCGTACCTGTCAAACCTGTGTATGTGTGACTTTAAAACCTAGAAAAGTCTTCCCCTTTCTCCTCGTAAAGATGGAATTACTTTCCCTGCGGTGAACATACTTTGATGAAACCAAATTCAAGCCACATGGTATGACAAAGGATTTCATGCTTGTCATGAAAATTTAGACGTCCTGGAATTTCTGGAAGAAATTGATGGTTCAGGGGGACTAAGCAGGATATTTGAAATGGAGGTTTACAGTCAGCAGAATGATGACCATGACTCACTGGACCTGAGTCTATGTTACAAAGGGGAATAAGGGTTGCAGGTTGTATTCAGGTTGCTGAAACAGAGAAGCAACCTGTTGCTACATTATCCAGGTGGGCCCAATGTAATCATAGGGTCCTTAAAAGAGTCAGTCTGATACACTACCAAACGTAAGGTAGATAGCTAGTGGGAAGCAGCCGCATAGCACAGGGAGATCAGCTCGGTGCTTTGTGACCACCTAGAGGGGAGGGATAGGGAGGGTGGGAGGGAGGGAGACACAAGAGGGAAGAGATATGGGGATATATGTATATGTATAACTGATTCACTTCGTTATAAAGCAGAAACTAACACACCATTGTAAAGCAATTATACTCCAAAAAAGATGTTTAAAAAAAAAAAAAAGAGTCAGTCCGGGGAAGGTGTGACTAGAGAGAAAAGGTATAGGGAGTTACCTTGCTGCCTTTGAAGATGGAGAAAGAGGCAAAGAATGTGGGTGACCTGGAGAGGGCAAGGAAATGGATTCTTCCTTGGAGGTTCCCGAAGGAACACAGTTCTGACCACACCTTGATCTTAGCTCAAGGAAACCGGTGTCAGACTTCTGAATCCACAACTGGAAGAAAACACAATTTTCAAGCTACTGCATTTGTGATGATTTGGTACAGCAGCAATGGAAACTAATGCAAGATTGTTCTAGAAATCAAGAACGTACTGTATCAATGCCTTTTGCTAATCTCTTTGGTCTAGAATAATTTTTACTGCTTCCGTGTGGGAGCCTGGACAGATTTGGTGGTGGCAGATGGAGGAAAAAGAGGATGGGCCTCAGCATGTAAAGTGAACATTTGGAGAGAGAGAGGAAACAAAATAACACTTTGTGTAGACAGCAAACAAGGAGGTGTGAATCAAGTTCAGTGCAGGCTAACTTCCTCTCATCAGTGGATCCAGAATAAAGGCAATTTATTATGCTACTTCAATATTTTCTTTGTTCCTTTTTCACAGAGATATCTTATGTATCTTAAGGAACTTATGTGTTACTGGTTGTAACTTTTATAATCTTCAAATTTTTAAGATTCTCTAAACAAAATGTGGGTGCCTAGTAACGAGTCAAATTGTGTGCACCGACAATTGTGAAAAATATAAATATCTCGGTACGAAGAAATCTGTAAGCTGAAGACCATTGGAGGAGGCCACATCAGTTGTTGTGGAAACAGATTTCCCAACATAATTAAATCTCTCATTTAATAAAAACATCGATCGTCTCGAATCAATTATTTTGAGGCTGCCACCAGAGGGCGCTATAACCCTTTGTAGACGATAAAAGCCCAGCCATGCCACACTTCCCAAGGAGTTTTTATTCTGAGGAAGCAACATTGCAGGGCAGAAAACGAACACCACTGGAACATTTCCAATGTTTTCCAGGTCATTTTACTAGATCTATTTTCTCCTGTTTTTATTTTTATCTTACAAGTCATCCTCAAACACACAGAGCAGGAGAAATGAGTCATGCCTCTTTTTTCAGTTCAGTCAAAGAGGGTAGAAGACAGAACAAAGTACAGTGAGATTGAACGTATCATTCCTACATTAACATCTTGCCCCCAAACACCATGCAGTGCAAAACATCACATCCCCATCATGCAAGGGCGTTAAAATGGTGGTTTAAAATCCTGGGCTTAAACGTAAAATAGGTAGCTAGTGGGAAGCAGCCCGCATAGCACAGGGAGATCAGCTCGGGGCTTTGTGACCACCTAGAGGGGTGGGATAGGGAGGGTGGGAGGGAGGGAGACGCAAGAGGGAAGAGATATGGGAACATATGTATAACTGCTTCACTTTGTTATAAAGCAGAAACTAACACACCATTGTAAAGCAATTCTACTCCAATAAAGATGTTAAAAAATAAATAAATAAATAAAATCCTCGGCTTTATTAACAGATGCTCGACGTCTCCCTGGGGCATGCTTCCCCTTTGGGCTCAAAAGAAATATCAAAACAGGGCAGTGAAGTCTTCTCACAGCAGGAGAAATTGAACTATTTTTTAAAATATCTATAAATATCTTTTTTTCTTCTTCGTTTTCGCTGTGGTCTGTGGTGATGTGAGGAAGAATAGAGATGTGCAGAGGAGGTAAGAACATCACTTCCTGTCTCACAACATAGAGAAACATGTAGAGGTTCATTATCTTGTTTGCTGAGACGAGCAGCTCTCAGTGCTGGGTGGAAGGATGGCCCATCCCCAGTCCATTTCCTATGAGTGGCTAAAATCTAGTTTCAGGGGCTTCCATTTTTAGTGACATATTACAAAACCATAGGCAGGACAGTCACCTCACATTTCTAGGATTCCATTCCTCTTATAAGTGTACAAAAAAAAATTGAAAGGTGAAATACATTGGAAAACCCCAATCAAATATCAAATTCTATTAGACGAAGAAGAGATGCATCCTAAAACTTCATTTGGACACGGCAGCTTTGCAACATAGAGTGACTGTTGGATGGGCACCTTGTGTGCCTAAATTACTCACTCAATCTTCTGTGTGGCCTCATCAAAATATTATCTTTCAATCAGAGTATCGTACAAAGAGGTACGTGTCCATGAATTTAAATATGGCTGGAATTGGTATAGCACCTCTCTTCAAAAGACTTAAAAGTATCTGGATCGTCTCTATGATATTGTTTGTGGCTTAGAGGCTGTCTGACGAAATTAGCATAATTACATGAAAAGGAATTGAGAGGAAAGTTAAGGTCCTAACTCTTAATCACTAAGCTCAGTCTCTGGCATCTCCTGACACATTTTAAAAGGAAAACAAAATAAATGGATCCCTTTCGTCCAAGGATCTCACAGCTCCTAACAAGCAGTGTACTTTACAGAAGGAAGGAAAGGAAGCAGAGTGATGTTACACCCCAACCCACAGCCAGCCCAGCAGCAGGTCACTGCAGGAGGGACAGTAACCTTTCAGGCCATGAGGAAGAGACTGTACTCAAGGAAAAGGGGCCTTTGGGTTTCCAGTGGATGACCTCGCAAAAGCTACCACGGCCCTGTGCCCATTGCAGCGCGATGGCACGTACAGTCCAAGTCCAGCTGCTGCGTCCCCACAGCCACCGCACAAGGCAGAGGCACACGGAGGAGGGAGACTCACAGCAGCCGTGCCCCTACTTCCTAGCACAACGTAACACAGAGTGAAAGCATCCTCAGAAGGGAAGTCACAAGTGAGCAGGTGAGTTTGGTCTAGAAGAGCCGGGTGCGAAATCGTGCATCTCAGTTTAACTTTCGTTTGGGAGGTTCTGCATAGTAACTGTTCTAACTAAAACAGCAAAACCATCTCGACGAACTTGACTTTGAAAAGTAACTGAAAAGCTAGACTGAGTAATCTCACGGATCTGTTTTGCCTTTAAGTTGGAGCGGTACCAATGGACTTTAAAAGGTCAGTTAAATATGTATTCATGAAAAGTCAAAGTAAAGCGTTAGAATATATTTGCAAGCCCTGGCCAAAAGCTTTCGAAGCACTTCACTTTAGGAAAAACTGGTTTAACGTTTATAGGTTGGTGCTGGAAACCAAAGAGAAAAAGGTAGAAGAATGCCTTATCATTCCATCCTTTCCTCTGCAATTATTTCTCCTTTTCTCACCACTTTGGTTACTTTGTGAATCCTAAACAGTCCACCTAATTATGGGAAGAATTAGATGCTGCTAATTACAGAAAGAATCAATGCTGATTTCTAGAGTAAAGAGATTAAAGCACTGGCCTTCAAACCAGAAACTTCAGGGTCCAGTCTGAGGACCTAGATGTTTGCTTCTTTCTGTGCCAACAGTAAACTCACAGAGAGCCAGGTTCCCTCTTCTGCAGGGTCTGAGCCCTGCCCAGTACGCTCCAACTGTTGCAGGAGCACCTAAATGTTTACTGGGCCAAACTGACTTGCATGGCCTTTCAGAAGCTTCTAGTATTACAACTTGCTTCCTGGGTTTTTTTTTTTTTTTTTTTTTTCTTAATGCTAAGGTTGTTTTTTGTTTACAAAGTATTAAGACTTCTTAGTAAAGCTTAGGGAAAATTTCAACAACTATTTCCATTTAGTTCGCAGATAAAATTCAGGGGGTTATTTCCATTTGAATGTCAAGCCACACACTTTGACACTATAAAGCCAACGATGTTGTGTTGACAACTTGCTAGGGGTTAGGCCAAAATGGGTCTTTGATGGGTTGTGGTTATTCTTATGGTGAAGTATTCACGGTGATTAGTGGGTGAAAACTTTCCTATTGTTTCTCTAATAAAATGAGTTCTCTTAAACGGTAAACCCCAAAATTTCTATTAGTCTTCCATCAAAAGACTGCATTAATTGTGCTTCATCTGGTTTAGGATACGTAGGCATAAATGGCATAAAACTTAAAGTATATTTACTAGAAGGGATAATGTAAGAGGAAAGTCCTTTTCTGGTTAGGAGGATGGTTTACAACAGATAGAAATCTAAGCATTCTGGAGAGAGAGAGAAAAAAGAGAGAAAGAAGCAGAGAGAAAAGCCAGAAAATAAAGATTATTAATGCATGCCCTACATTTATCCCACAAGATTTCCTGAGCATTCCTCAGACATTATAGTGCAACATAATAACTCCAGTGAATCAATAGTATTCCTATTTTTCTCAAGCAAAAAGTATATACTTTGAAACATATACTGAATAAAACATATAATATCATCTTTTAAGACACTAGTAATTTGAACTTCTATAAATATTCTTAAATAACAAATATATTTAGCTATTCACATAGGACACAAAGTGACACATAAACATACAAAAATAAAACAGTCATGTTTTAACTCTTTTGTTGTTTCTGTTGGGTTGATTTTTTTTAGACACTAAAGATACTAAAACAATTCAGACACCAGAATCATCTTGTCAATATTGATCCTGGGGAATCTGGATGTACATTTATTTATTTATTTATTTATTTATTTATTTATTTATTTATTTATTTTAGGCCATGCTGCACTGCCTGGGGGAATCTTAGTTCCCCAACCAGGAATTGAACCCAGCCCCTTGGCAGTGAGACCGCGGAGTCCTAACCACTGGACTGCCAGGGGAGTCCCTGGTTGTACATTTACACTGTGCATAGCTACCACACCCAAGGGCAAAGGCAGTAAACATTCCTCGCTGGACATATTACTATGTCCTACAGTGGTTTAGAAAATCTCAGAGGGAATAGAGGTGTCCAAGTGTAATGAGAGAGTTTTCTTTAGCTGTTCTGTGGAAAGGAAACATTAATCAGATCCCTTACCCAAACTGGATAAAGTCTGAATATATTAAGCTGTCCTTTGAGCGAGTGGAATATAGGACACGCCTCCTCCTTGGGCATTCCCGCACACCATTTGCTATGAAGTATTTCTCAACACGTGGAAAAGGCACCACCATTCTGGACCAAAGGCAAGCGATTTGGGTTCCACAATACCACATCTGTCCTGCCCCGGTTACTGCTGTAGATAGCATTCCTCCACTCAAAAGATGACTTGGGGAACTCAGCTACCCAACCAGATGGAATATATACATTCTTCTTTTGGAAAACAGAGTATTTCTATGAAGAAGCATCCCTGGTAAAAAGTGATCTTTTGTCCATGGAATGTTGTCATTCTCTTGAGAGCAACAGACAGAGGTGACAGTTCTCACATCCCATCTAGAACTTAGCATGGCCGGGGGCTCCCAGAAGGAACACAGAGACCATTTGCTCATCTGGACTCCATCCCTCCAGCTGGAATGGAAGCACTGAAACTGGTGATGCAGCATCAGTGTTTGTCTTCACCCCAGTTGCATCCCTAGAGGAGGAGCTGGTGCTTCCAGGAACTGGCTTTCAGTTTTCCTTTATAAGGAAAAATGTTAAGCTACTACAACATCTTGAAGAGTTGCTTTGGGGTAAGATGCGGGGGGGAGAGCATCCTGGCTTGTTCTCAAATAGAATTTTCAATGCAGGCAGAGGAAGGTGGTTTCTCGAGTCCCTGGAGGGAGACTTCGGGGGTAGACGTAGGGGTCCTCTGCTGTTGATGCTGCTGGTAGATATCCTGGATGAGCAGGGTGTTCATGACCTTCCACTCCCTGTACTTTCTGGCTGTCAGCTTCGGATCATCCAGCAGCTGGTTAATCATGGCCAGGTCATGTTCTTTACACTATCCAAGTAGAAAAAAGAGAGAGAGAGAGAGAGAGAGAGAAGAGGGTGAGATGTGGTGACTATCTTAATTTCAATAAACCATCTTCAGCCCTTTTAGAAATAAACGCACATATATCTTGACCGTAAAATTATCAAAGTGTTTTTACATATTAATATTCAAGTCCCTACAACAACCTAAGAGATACGGCAAGACATCCATTTACATAGTCTGACCACAAAGAAGGTAGGCATCCCACCCAAGACTTAGGGGAAGAACTAGGCATATAACCAAGGTCTCCTGTGTCGCTCTTCCCTGATCAATCCACTATTCCACACTACAGTCATATTTCTATCTCGGTATGAGCTTTATTCCTCCTGGAATGGCTAATTGTATAATCATGCCGTTAACCATCCAAGCTTCACTAAGTAAAGCTGGGACATAGTACTTTTCCTAAGACATAAGTCAGTACAAAAATATATCTTTTTAGAGACAGAGATAGAGATAGAGATAGAAATAGAGATAGAGATAGAGATATATATTGGATCCGGCCCAACACTGAAATAGCCCACTTAAAAACTCATTAGTTGCCTTATGCTTTGCATATATCTTACCCTTTTTCCTTAAGAAAATCCCTTTATCAGGGAGCTCATTATATTGGGATAATCCTATTCCTTATGCCTTGATCCCAATACATTCTACCCTTACATAATGAAATATATATATATATATATATATTTTTTTTTTTTTTTAGGGATTTCCTTGGTGGCACAATGGTTAAGAATCCACCTGCCAATGCAGGGGATATGGGTTTGAGCCCTGGTCCGGGAAGATCCCACATGCCACGGAGCAACTAAGCTCATGAGCCACAACTACTGAGCCCGTGGGCCACAACTACTGAAGCCCATGCGCCTAGAGCCCGTGCTCTGCAATGAGAAGCCACCGCAATGAGAAGCCCGTGCACCGCAACGAAGAGTAGTCCCCGCTCGCCACAACTAGAGAAAGCCCATGCACAGCAATGAAGACCCGATGCAGCCAAAAATAAATAAATTTATTTTAAAATATATATATATCTTTTTATTTATTAAATTATACCATTTTTAATAAATTTCACACATTTAATATATACAGAATAAATATGTAGGCTATCATTTTATTCAAAGAAAAGACTATTAAACTTCCATCCAAATAGTGCATATTTCAGTGATGCTAGTAGACAATCTATTCATATTACTTCACCTGCCTCCTCTGTAACCAATGACACATTTCCGAAATGTCTGTCTCAGGTTAGGGGATTTTTCTGTAGTCAAGGAATGGAGTGAAACATAAGATGTATCAGCCACCACATTCAAAAAAAGATCTCTCAACCTGACACATTTATCTCAAATCTATTCCTGTTCCCTTCATCCCTGTGCACATAACCCACTTTCGGATACAAAGTCCACTGTATCACACTTGATCTGCTGCTACAGCCTCCCAAGTGAGGTTCCTGCCTCCAGTCCCCACTTTGTATCCACCCTCTGCCCGACAGTGCAAGGGCTCCCCCTCAAATTCCAAGTATTCTTAATAGTTCCCCTTCATGCCCAAGGTTCCGTGGACATGAGCCCATCCTCCACTCCCTTCTTCCTTTCCTCTCTAAGAGTGTTGATGTGGATTTTCTCCCCGACATGCTGCTACTTCATACCCCCGGGATGTGCCACACAGAGGACCTTCTTCACCTTCCTTCACCTGGGGGACTCTAATTCCTTGAGGGACCTTCACATGGAACATTTCCCAGTTGTTTTTTTTTTACTGGATTTTACTACAACTCATAAAGGTATACTCACTTCAGGCATCATGCTCTCCAAAAAAATCTCTGAACCCCCAGACTGAACTGAGAAGCTTTTTGTATGTTCACGTGCCTTCCAATGCTGGGATCCAGCCCTCTTAGAACTTACCATGTTACGCTGAGATGTTCATGGCTCTGTCACGCCACCTATTCTAAAGCTTCTTAAGGAAGGTGACAGGGAACATATTTTATTCATTCCTGTATTCCCTGTACCTAACACAGTCATGAATGACAGGTAGACATTCAATGCCTGTTCATTACTGAACTAATCTCTCTGCCTAGATCCAGGTCAGCATGTGCTAAATATTCACAACTGTGCTCACTGGTCAAAGTTCAAATTCATGACCACTGCCATTAAATGGACTTTCACTACTATCCAATAATTGTGTTTTCTTATCCCTTTTCTCTTCCCCTCTCCCAAATGACTATTTCAAAACTTCTCATTTCTACTCAAATCTCCTCCCCAATCCTCCCTTGTAGCTGATGACCCTGCTCTTTATTTTTTTGGGGAAATGGAAACCATCAGAAAAGTAGTTCTCCCAAGCTCCTAGCAACTTCTACTACATCAGCACCAATATAAGCTGCCTTCCTTCCTGTTCATTTGGGTGAAATATCTGTGCTCCTAGAGAAGACCGATCTCTCTACTTGTACAAGTGCGTCCTCTCTCACATTCAAGAAATTCACTTCAGCAATTCTCCCCTCTTTCCTGTGACTCGTCAATTTCCTGTCTCCATGCGATCATTCTCACGGGCGTACAAGCATGCTCTCATTCCTCCCATCGTAAAAGCCCTCCCTTGAGCCCACTTCACTATTCCTGCTAACGTTCAGCTCTTCTCTGCCTCCAACGTCCTTGTGCCCGTTCTTTCACAGAATGTCTCCAATCAGGCTTCTGCCCCCATCCTTCCACCAAAACTGCTCTGGTTAGGGCCGTCTATGACCACCACGCTGCTAAGTCCGATGATCAATTAGTCATCGTCTACTTACCAACAGCATCTAAAACTGTTGACTACTCCTTCTTGAACACCTTCATCATGTTGCTTCTGTGACACATTTTCCTGAATCTTCTCATCCCAGAGTGACCGCTTATTCTCAGCCTCCTTTGCTGGTTCCACCCAATCTCTTAACACTGGTATGCCCCAGAGCTCCAGATTTAGCCTATTCTCTGTTTTATTTACATTCATGCTCTTGGAAATTTCACGTACTCTCTTCCCCTCTCCCTACACACTGAGGGTCCCAAATCTACTTTGCCAGCCTTACCATCGCCCTGAACACCATACCTGTTGATCCCTTCAGCAGCTCCACTTGGGCATCTCCAATATAACGTATCCAAAACTTACTTCCTGTTATTCTCAATACCCCCATCTACTCCCAATACGTACTGAAACCTGCTCCTACCATAGTCATCCTCAAAGCACCTCATAGCAACTCCATCTTGCCAGTTGCTCAGGCCAGACACTGGAGTTGTCCTTGACTCCTTCTCTTACTCCCAACGTACCAGAAAATTCGGACGGTTATACCTTTGAAATACGTCAAGCCATGGCACAGCTCTGTTGAGAACTTTCCAAAGGCTTCCTATCGCACTGAGTTGAAGCCAAGGTGTTTCCAATGTCAGTGAGGCATTACAGGCTATGATCCCCTGCTGCCCCTTGGACCCACGGCTCTGCTCCCCGTCTCACCTCCCCACCCCATTCCAGCCACACTGACCTCCTTACCCGTCCTTAAATGGACCAGGCACACCCCCATCCCAAGGAATGTGCGTTTTTGTCCCTGTTACTCGAAACATTCTGCCTCAGGTAGACTGAAGGCTCACTCCCTTTCCTTTTTCAGATTTTACTCAAATTCTATCTTTTAAAGAGGCTTCTCATGCTTATCCTAGTTACAAATCAGTCCCTCAACATTCCTTATTCCCCTTCTCTTCTATTTGCTACCAAATGTATCATCACCTAGCACACTACAAATTTAATGTATTTATTTTGTTTATTTTTTTCTCCACCTAAATGTAAGCTTCATGAGGTCAAGCACTTTTGTCTGATATATAGCCAGGTGTCTGAAAGAATGACTGACACATAGTAGACTTTCACTAAATACCTGTTGAAAAAAATGAATATATCAAATAAGAAGTGAATGAAAGAACTAGTCACCCATTTGCCTTCTAACCTCTTTTGCATCATGAACCCTATTTAGAGTCTGAGGAAATCCTCTCCATAAACGGACAAACAAACAAACAAATATATATATAATTATATATATGATATACGTATTATTGAATATATCTGTATTATATCTACATAATATATAATATGTTATATAGATATATATTACAGATATATAGGTAGATACAGGCATAGGCATAGACATAGACATAGACATAGACATAGATATAGATATAGATATATCCACACATTTGCATATAGTTTTAGGGATTCTAAGAATTGGCAGCATGTATTTTATCCAAATGAGGTATCTGCTCATGCATGATCCCAAACATTAGTGGCACACAAATGTATTTTCTGTACTCTACAATTAGCTTTAACTTACATTTTATTTGGGGTGTTTTATTACATTTTCTTGTTTTCTTCTTTTCCTATTTCTAGATTGGTCAGAGTAATATTGATTTCGAGGGAAAAGTACCATACATATAGTAATCTGAGTGGTGAGATTTATAATTTTAAAGCAAGAGAGCAAGGGTGTGGTGATAAATGGAGATCAAAAGATATATTTGGGTTTCAGGAAGGAGAGAAAATTGTGCAGTAGGAAAGTAACCAAAGTGGGATATGAAGCAGGTTGGCCAGGACCCAGAAGCAGAGGGAAGAAAGGTTAGTTAATAAGGGGGTAACTAGGAAGGATTGCTGGTAGAAAGTCAAGCAGGACCAAGAGAGTTTTCTTTCTTCTCTCTGAGTTCTCCACATCTCTACTTCTTTTCCAAAAAAAAAAAAAAAAAAAATGCTTTCATTCTATAATATTACCATAGTACTGTTCCTATGAAGATACTTAAGGGGTGTTACTTTGTTCTTAAGAAATTTTGACATCTGTGCAGAGAGAGATCCTAATATTTTATTGAAAAAAACTAAATAAGATCTTTGCAGATCAACCAAATTTGGAAAATTGATTTTTTTAAGGCAAAAATGAATTCACCACCACTTCTAAAGGGGATAAAAGGTTTTAGGAAAGGGTCTCTTCAACTAACACTTCTCAAATGGTTTTTAGCTCTAAAAAATTCAAATTTCTTACCATTCAGCTCAAGTCCATGTTAGTTCTTTTATGGATAAAAGAAAAAACTGTAGATAAGAATAGAGAGGAAGGAAATTAATGAAACAACTTAACCCTCTGCACTCCTTCCTTGACTCGGCACCGTGGGGTCAACAGGCATCACGCAAAGGCCCTGCTTCTCCCCTATAGAGCAGCAGGCTCACTGGATGCTTTGAACCACTTTGACAACATACTCCTGGCTTTCTGGCAGGCGGGCAGGGTCTGGTAGGGGTTCTGAAAAATAACGTACTTCCATTCTTCACTCCAAATATTCAGTACATGGCTTGCTTAAGACCTAAGCACTGGAAATGTGTTCTACCAGAGCAGGTGGGAAAGAAGTGTTCGTTCCTCTTTTGACACAGGCAAGAGGAATCTTGGGAGAAAGTTTCAGTTGGACCCATTAATCATTCATTTAAAAATAAATACAGGCTTAGCCAAAAGTCCGGGGATGTGGAGCTATCAGGAACTCCTAAAGGTCTAATCTAAAGGCCTTTAGTGTGTGACATGATAGTTTGCTCAACTTTCTAAAAGAATTTCCATGAGGAGCATTCATTCCAATACAGTCCCAGTGAGAGGATTTTTCTTCATTTCTGGAATGTGCCTATTACTAATACAAACATTATTATTCAAACAGTTTCCTTGCTTCTGCATGAAACTGTTCTTTTTGCTTGTCCACACTCCGGCTTTGAAGTATTTTTTAAGTAAACATTTATATTGCAACGTAACACACATAGAGAAAAACGCGCATATAAGGTTTGTGCTTGATGAAATTATCACAAAATGAACACATCTGTGTAGCCACCATCAAAGTCAAAAAAGACTCTTACCTGGAATCTCAGAAGCTTTACTTGTGGCCTCTCCCAGTGCATATCCTCCCCTCCCCCTCAAAGGCAACCACTATCCTGACTGCTTTGAGTTTTAAAGACAGTTAAAATAATTCTGATAGCTTTGTGACATGAATGAACATGATGTACCAGATAATCTTTCTCTAATGAATAGGTTGATGTGCTTTTCTCTTTTTTTTCAACAAGGTCAATTTCCACATCATCATGTCCTCCTCGGAGGTTCACAGGAATACGTAACATGGGGTGCATTTCATCAGCCCCAGCGTAAGGGATCTGTGGAAAGGTCTTCTTTCCAGAAATGTTCAGAGAGTGCAGTTCTTCAGCTGGGTGGGGTAGAGAGCCCCTGAGATGGCCCCAATGTTCCTTGCTCCCCAGTACTCATGCCCTTCTGTAATTCCCCTCCTTGACTGCAGGAAGGCTGACCTAGCGACTTGCTTCTAATGAACAGAATACTGTAAATGCGATGTGATGTCACTCCTGAGATTGGGGTATAACCCACCCTGCTCGCTCACTCTCGCAGCTTTACTGCTCTGCAGGCAGCCAGCTTCTATTTTGGGAACTGCCCTATGAAGAGACTCACATGGGAAGGAACTGGGGGTGGCCTCCAGCCAACAGACAGTGAACAACTGAGACCCTCAGTCCAACAACCTGCGAGGAACTGAATCCTGCCAACAACCACGTGAGAGAGCTTGGAAGCACACCCTCCCCCAGTGGAGGAATGAATGCAGTCCCAGCTGATGCCTGGATTACAGCCTTATAAGAGACTTTGAAGCAGAAGCACCTAACCAAGCCACACCCAAATGCCTGACTCACAGAAACTGTGAAATGATGAATGTCTATTGCCTGTAGCTGCTAAGTTTGTGGGTATTTTGTTGCCTAGCAATAGATAACTAATACCTGGGAAGAAAAGAAAAAGATGCTGAGTTCCTCAAGCCTGTGGCCATAGTGCATGGAGAACAAGACGTCACAGAGAACCAGCTGCGTCGGTAAAACCTTTGAATTCTTTGTACAAACCTGCGCTCCCAGTTTCCAAGCCCCTGGCCATGGTTGGGTGAAGGTCCAGAATCCTGAGTTTCCTGCTCTTTGGAAAGCTGAGACCACCGTCTTTCTCCTTCTAGAAGTAGCCGAACTGTCCAGGCTCTCCTTAGCCTCTATTCCCTACTTCTCCCAATGTGGGCTGCAACATCTCATCCACTGATATGCATCTGCCTAGGCCAGCTCCTCCCCCTTGAACGCACTTCCTTCTCTTCCTGATTTTCTTCATCTCTTATGATGGGCCAGTTTCAGCATCTCCATGGCATTGTCCCTAATGGCCTCAGGTAGGCAGCTGTTTCCCTCCTCTGGGCTACCAAAGCTGATATCAACTATAGCACTTATCACATCTCATAGCAATTGTTTTCCTTTATGTTTCCATTGTCCAGTGGGGTCTTCTCAGTGGTCCCAGTGTCCTAGAGTAGTGCCTCATACATAGTAAGAGTCGGGAAGTATTTGTTCAATAAAAAATGTATTCACTCGTATCAGTTATCACAAATAAGACAGTAAAATCCCAACACAGTATGGCATATTACACTGGATGACCAAACACATTTAGCAACTCTGTAAATACTATGGAATACAACATATATGACTTTGAAATGAGTGCTAGTGATGTCTTTCATCATTAAATGCTAGGCAATTTCCTCTACGTTTGGGTTTTCTTTGTATAAATAAAATACACCTTTGCCTTTTATTTTTCAGCCTTATTTTTACAAGGCTCACTGGGACATCTGACTGAGAGTCACTCCACCATCTTTTGTAGCCTTGTCCTTTTGATTGCTGATATTTCTTCCTGGAGAGGGATTCAAATTCATGATGCAAAAGGACACGTACAAAACAGCATTAAATTGCGGGTCTACAAGGCTTTCCAAAATCTATAAATCTTCTGCTAATTCAGGACTGTTTTACAAAGCATTCTGGCCTCTACTTGTTTGTGCTATAATCTAAACGTGAAAGCAGGATGCTTTTGTTATAAAGAACCATTTTAGTTATGGGAGGCCATGAACGTAGCTTCAGTACATCCTGTGCCCTGTCCCTTATTCTCACTGTGGAAACATCTGCTCGTCTGCTACCGTGAAGTGTCTGTTTCCCACTGCCCAGCTCTCATGGTGTTCTTGGCTCCAGACTCAAGAGCTTAGCATCACGTAAGTCTGCTATATCTGAAATGTAGAAAGTTTCTTCTGGATATAGTATAAAAGAACAGCACCCTTTAATGAATCAGGCAAAATCCCAAGATCTTATTAAATTTTACTGTGTATTCTCACCAGTTGACTATCTCAGGCTCTCAGCAACATTTATTATTCCAGGTAGTAGGGCACAAAAACAAATTACACATGATCCTTGCCATCTAGGAGCTTAGTATTTGAAATTTTACACCAGAGTGAATGCAAAAATCAAGGCCTATTGTAAAAACAAAACAAAACAAAACAAACAAACAAAAAAAACTGCATTGGGTGCTACTGCGTGAATTTCCTACTGTTTTAAGAAGGTCAAGGGTCAACTCACCCTATTGAGACTGTATTGGCTTTTACTGCCTTTCCCTACCCTCCACCCACACATGTGGTTAGCATAAATCATTCTACAGAACCAGCATCTTCTCACGCCACATCCACAGAGTTCATCCACAGTCCGAAATTTCTTACCTTTAATGTGCTATTCAAAGTTCGGATTTTGTGGAGCTTCTCATTTATGGATGGATTTTTGCACCGCTTGACAAAGGACTTTCTCAACTCCTTTTTGGTTGAAGGTCGCCGGTCCCCAAGAGGAGATAGACTAGCTTGCTCTAACGATTTGTAGAGCTTCTCCATTTCATCATCTTCAGACACTTTTGTCTCTTCTATTAAAATAAATAAATAACAATAAACCCAGTTAATCAAGGACAGAACATTTGACATGGTCCTAAAACAAGGCCCTCCTGATACCTTGATCTTAGACTTCCAGCCTCCAAAACTGTGAGACATAAATTTTTATTGTCTAAGCCGCTCAGTTGGTGGTACTTTGTCATACCAGGGCCATGTTCCCTTTGAAGGCTGTAGGGAAGGATCTGTTCCAGGCCTCTCTTCCAGCTTCTGGTGGTTCCTTGGCTTGTGGCAGCATAACTCTAATCTTCACATGGTGTTTTACAGTGTGCATGTCTCTGTGCCCAAATTTCCCCCTTTTATAGACACCAGTCATATGGATTAGGGGCTCACCCTATTGACCTCTTAACTAATTACACCTGCAAAAAATAACCATTTCCTAATAAGGTCACATTCTGAGGTCTCAGTGGTTATGACTTCAACACAGGAACTTTGGAAGGACACAATTGAACCCATAATAGTACACAGTCTAACCTCCCAAAATTTATGTCCCTCTCACATGCAAAATACATTCACTCATCCCAACATCTCCGAAAGTCTTAATCCATTCAAACATCAACTCTAAGTCTCAAATCTCACCCAAATATCATCTAAATCAGAGACTGGTGGGACTCAGGGAATGATTCATCCTGGGGCAAAGTTCCTCTCCACCTATAAACCTGTGAAACCAAGTAAGTTCTCTGTTTCTAAAATACAGTGGTGGGGCAGGATAACCTTACAAACCAGTACACACTCTAAAGCTTGAGAACCATTGTCCCAGATCACGTTTTAATGTCCTTCCTAGAACTGTGCTTTGAATGAAGGAATCCACCTGTGGTCTGTGGCTTTCAGCAGATAATAATAGTTCCTCATGCCACACACCTCCATTCTCTTTGTTAACCACACCTTGCCAGCCTCAGCTCAAATGCTTCCAGGAAAGTGACTCCACCCAGGATCCGGGGGGACCCCGGATGTGCTAGGCTAAGCCAGCGGCAGTTCCGTCATGCTAGCCACAGTCATTCATCCAGGGATGAGCACGTGTCTCAGATCAGGCCCACTGGGGCCAAAGAGACTCAATTCTGAGACTTTGGTTTGGGGCATCAGGGAATCAATTTCTCTGTTTTCCTAAACTGAGTGGTGTGATTCCAGAAATCATGCCAAGAATCATGAGAATGGAGCCAATCCATAGGATCCAACTGACACATGGATTTTGGTGATACCATTACTGCCCTCTTAGCTTATGGGAGCCAGTACATTGCCTTTGTTAAGATATTCTGAGTGTCGTTTTCAAGCATATGCAGCTGAAAGAGTCTCAAATGATATAGAAAGTTACTCAAAGAAAACCATCTCTTGATGCTGCTTTAATTTCTTACTAAAAACTTCAGTCCTTTATTCACTTCAGTCTGAAAATAATGTTGGGAAGGATAGACAATAAGATTGTTTTCTACCAGGTACTTCCTAGTGTCTATGCATTTTAGCTCCCATCCTGAGAACAAGCTTGATAGAGGATCATATAGGAAGTATGGCCTTAGAAGAACTAGAGAAAAGGTCTCACCAAAGAGAAAAGCACACAACAGTAGTCTAGGAGCATCAAAATTAAGCACACTCACTTACTTTACAGTTTACTCTTATAAGATTAAGTGCCTTTAGGCAATAGTTTTCCCCCTTCTACTACCAGAAAGTCCACAGGTGTGCCCAATACTCTTTCATAAAATGAAGAGCAAAGATGTTGGGCTAACTTTGCAACTAAATTAAAGTATTGGTCAGTAAACTTCTTTGTTCACTACCACAGTATTATCAAAAAAGGAGAAAATATTCAAAACACAATTAGACTTTTTGGCTCAGTCTGTGCAGACATCAAAAGTAGGTTTTTGTCAATAAGCACGTGAAAAGATGCTCAATATATCAGTCATTAGAGAAATGCAAGTCAAAACCACAATGAGATACTATTTCACACTCACCAGGATGGCTAAAATCAAAAAGGCACAATAAGAAGTGTGGCCAAGGATGTGGAGAAACTGGAACCCTTAAAGTTGCTGGTGGGAATATAAAATGGAGCCACCACTTTAGGAAACCGTTTGGTAGTTCCTCAAAATGCTAAATGTAGCATTTTAAGTTACCATATGACCCACCCATTCCATTTCTAGTTATATACTCAAGAAAATTAAAAACACGTTAACACAAAACTTGTGCATGAATGTCATGAATGATATAGACAAAAGGTGCGAACAGCCTAAATGCTCACCAGCTGAGTGGGGTAACAGATTGTGGTACACGCATGCAATGGAGTATTAGTCATTAAAAGAAATGAAGTACTGACACATACTAAAACATGGATGAAACTTGAAAAATTCTTTGAAGTAAAAAAAGCCAGTCACAAAAGACACATACTGTATCGTCCATTTATAATGAAATGTCCAGAATAAACAAATCCATGGAGACAGAAAGTAGATTAGTGGTTGCCTGGGGCTGAGGAAGGGACAAGTAGGAATGGGGAGTGACTGCTAATATGTATGGGGTTTTTCCTGTGTGTGGTGCTAAAATGTCCTCAAATTAGATTGTGGATCTAGTTGCACCACTCTATGAATATACTAAAAACCACTGAACTGTATGTTTTTATGTGTGAATTTTATGGTATGTGAAGCATATGTCAATAGAGCTATTAAAAAGTAGACTTTTATAAGATTATCATGATAACTGATGACACTTGCATAGGAGAAATACTAAGCATGGCAACAGTCCTGGAGTTAAGCTGGAGACATCAGAAAGTCTTAAGAAATCTAAATAAAAAGACATCTGACTCTTAGAGCGGAACATTAGCATTGGCGGCTCTGGGAGTTTTCAGTCCCACAAGAACACAATAATTGTACACATCATTTTTTTACAGATAGGCAGGTGGGGACTCTACCTCAAATAAAGCCTGAATACATAGCTTTTAATACCACAGTATTTTTACAGTAATATATATTTAACAAACCTCAAGAAACAAACCAAACAAGTATACAACAACAGAATGACTTCTTCACTTCCTCTGTGTTCACCAAGCTGCTCAGTTGTGCTGCTAAAGATTGTGATAGAAAATAAAAATACTTTCGACTAACACATTAATTTGTAATTATGTCAGAGTAAAATGATTATATTAAGATCTTATATCTAATTCAACAATATTAAATCAGTAAAGATGAAAATAAACTTTAGAATCTTGAAATAACATGGCATAAAGTACATTCCCTAAATGAAAAATAAAGAGGACCGCCTCTTTGGATAATTTTATTATTATTTAATATATTTATATCAATATATATTACCTTTAAGTTAAAAATATCAGAGATTATCGCCCTTCCACACACATATTCCTGTCCCTATTTGCCTTTTTTGTATCATAATCTGAGAGATATACCACATATTGCTAGATACTCATGGGAAAGACCTGTGATCTAACCTCATCCATGACCTAAATGGGGATTTTATACTGTTTTACTGTTACTAATGGCTGGTGCCTAGGTCTTCACAGGACAATAAAATGAACATCCAGTAATAATGGAAGCGGATGATAACAGGATCATAGGACAAAAAAAAGACCCAAAGGGTACAAGCACACAAGAAAACACAGCTTGCACCTGACCCCAAAGCCGAGGTGAACCGAGTCCTTCCTAACGGTTGTATGGAAGACTAGCGCTGGCTGGCTAATCCTACAGGGCTATCCCTGTACCTTTCAAAGGCTTCTCAATAGAGTAATATTTTAAAAATCTCCATTTCACCTTTTTTATGTAAATATTTTTCTAAATTCTAACATCATATTGGGAAACACTACATTGTTCCCTTATCTGAGCAGATTATAAAAAGAGCAAAAAAAAAAAAAAAAGATTGGCAGAAAAGACCACTGGTCTCTCTCCCTCTGGAAACAGAAACCAAGTTAATTATTTCTATCTCCCTTGTGTTCTGTGGCAAAATGAAAGACTTTTGTCTGACAATCAAGTGTTTTCAACGCAACTGTTATCCTTCCTCTCAAGTGCATATTTTAGTCTCTTACATAAAATAACAGGACTTTAATTTCCTTCTCCACATAAGGCATCACGCCTCACGAGTTCTTTGCCAAGGAAGATGAAAACTATTTTTATTTTATAGATGAGAAAAAATGTGGAGATTCTTGGAAAACAGTAAGTGATCTTTCCAAAATGTAAAGCAGTGTGGAATGAGGAATAAAAGTTTGCTTCCACACTCTGCAGGCCCAGGCACTTCGGGAGCAGTCTTCTCCAACTTTAATAAGCAAACAACCACCTAGGGATCTTGGTAAAATACAGTTTCTGATTCATTCAGTCTGGGATGGCGGGCACTGAGATGCTAAATTTTTAAGGAGCTCCTAGGTGACGTCTGAAGTGCTGGTCCATGGACATACTCTGAGTAGGAAGGCTAGACTGCTTCCCAGCAATTAGTCATGCAGAAACAGCCTCAGCTCACCAGAAGAGAAAAGGACTGAAATTACAGCTAGAAAGTTGAGACCTGTCCAGAAAGCAGCATCTATTTTCTCTGTGCCATATCACAGCTTTTTTAAAAATCTGGCTTGCTCAAGGGAGGGTTCGAGAATCCCTGCTCTAAAGCATCAGTATCTCAATATTGTTGAGTTGGTAGGAATTTGAGGTAAATGTTAGTGACCCTTTACTTCTGTTAGACTGGCTCAGAATGTCTGGAGGGGTCAGTCTAGAAAACGTTCTCCAAACTTAGGTCAATAATCTAATGATTTAGACTCAATAAAGGGATGATATATTTTTAAGAAGATCTTTCTTGTTGACATTAGCAAAAGACAAAACACGGAAGATTCAGAAGGAGGGGAAAGATACGAGGGGCACTTCATGCCAAGAGCAGTGAGGCAAGAGGAAGAAGAAGTTACCCCAATACAATTTCACAAGCAGAAAATGAAGGTTTGGAGCAGATAAATGCCCTTACCTTTTCAAGATGGTGCTCTCTTGTCCTTATGTCTATGGTTATAATCTAGTGT